CAGGGGGGGCAGGGGGGGTCCCAGGAGCCCCAGCCCCGGGCAGAGCCCTGCGCAGCCCTGGGGCGGGACACGGTGCTTGTCAAGAAACACAGGAGAGCTGGAAAAAGTAAATGGACATTTAGCCATTCCATAAAGCTTTGGTGAATTCTGTAACTTTGATTATGGCTTTAGTTATTGCTGCCTTGCCTGGGTTGCATTTGCAGGGCCCAGCTCTCCTGAGCCTCCTGCTTCACCCGGGCACTGGGTCGTTTATCAGCAGCATCACGTCATCCCCCTGTGCATCCAGCTACTGCCTTTATTTTCCCTTGCTACACCATGACATGACGTATCTCTTTGAAAAATTGAAAGCCATCTGTTCTGTTAGATTTCCAAATGGCTACAGTGCCTGCTGTGATTGCTGCTGTTGTTTTGGGGTGCATCTGTCACAGCTGAGGGAAGCGAGGCAGGAGCAGCCCTTGGGCCCGGGCGGGTGCAACGTGCCCCTTCCACAGGCACTGCCCACCCCAAGGGCTCCTTCTCCCCAGCTGCATCACTGCCAGCCCTGCAATGGGCCTCTCCTGTTCCAGCTATCTCAGCTCTTTATGGTTCTTCCTATTATTTCAGTTTCCCTCCCCATATGATATGGAATTCAATTTTCAGAGGCTTAAAACAGTAAACACAATGAACATTTTTTTCTCCAACTGATACCCTGGGAATTTGCTTCTGGGACTGACTAATGCTGACAAAGAAAAGCTTCAGGTGTGTGTTACAATTATAAAACTCTTCTTTAGGACAGGAAGAAAAACTGCACCGTGAATGTCAAGGCTGTGTGTTGCATCTGCTGTAATTCCTGTCTCGTGGAGCCCAGCAATGCCCGCGGGGTGGGAGATGGATCTGACAGGCAGTTCCTGCAGTGGGGTTGTTGCTGAGGCACCTTTCCCACCTGCTGCAGTTGTGGCTGGGTTTTAGTGATTGGAGAAGTCTCATTATCCCAATTAACTCAGCAGCAACAGCGTGAAAGAAAATGAAATACACAAGTGTTCCCTTCTGAGATGATAAACTGGTGGCTACAGAAGGAGTGTGTTATGTTGTTTTTTGCAGTCTGTTTCTATTTCTGTACTACAGGGAACTCAGTTAAGTGAGCCTGCAGAAGCCCATCATCCTCACACTGGCAGCTTTTAGGAGCACAGCAGGATTTAATGGGGCTTGAGACCACCCGTGGCAGAGGAACAGCAGTGACCCTCCCCTGACAAGTCTTTACATCTCTGTCCTTATATTAAGGGTCACATCTTTTAAAGCAGGGCTAATAACCAGGACTTTGCTGCTGCTGTGTCCCAGCTGTACTTCCTGAAAGGACAGATCAGTGCATTTGGGTGTGAAAATGCTGCTATTGGACTGTGTGGGCACCTGTGCTGGCTCAGCTCAGCCCGGGCTGATGGTGCTGCTGTGCTGGCCCTTGATGGGTTCTTCATCACTTCTGGGCTTTGACAGCGTTCCCTGCTGATGGAAAGTAGAAAGCAGCCAGATGAATGTCATCCCTGTACAGCATTTCTCACACAGAGGATGATGGAGATGGGCAGGGCCTTTATTTGGTTCTGTGTGCCAGCCGGGTGAGGGACCCTGCGTGGTCCATGAGGCCTCCTTGGCACACACCCCTGCAGCAACTGCACACACAGCTCTGCACTGAACTGTCTGACAAGGCAGGAAATATACCCCAGAGCCTGGAAATGCACTTTGTTTAGAAAATGTTCCACAAAATGGGTTGGCTGCTTCAGGAAACACCTTGCAGGGGTAGGCTTTGGGTTTGGAGACTTGGTTAGTTGGTTGGTTTTCTGGTGCATTTGAGGTCTTCATGGAGCAATGTGGGAGTTTCATTTCTGGTGAAAGGGGGGTGGATTTTGGAACCTGTGTCATTTTCTGGTGTTACAGGAGGTCTCATTTCATATTTGAGATTGGAAAATAGATTGGATAATAGAAGAAACTTCTTGACTGAAAGGGTTATCAGTCACTGCTGCCCAGGGAGCACCTTCCACGGAGGGGTTTAAAAGATGTGTGGATGTGGTGCCCAAGGACATGGTTTAGCACTGGACTCTGTGATTTTAAAGGTCTTTTCCAACCAAAACAATTCTGTGATTCTGTCTTACAGCTTCAAATGTACTGATCCAGATGCTCCAAATTGAAAGGCTTTTCCAACCAAAGTGATTCTGTGAATTTCCAACTAGAACCAGAGTCCTGGCTTTGTGTCCCTTCTCTATTCAGCCTCCCTTAGAAAGATAGTTTATAATCTGCCTAAACCTGTCCTTCTCCTGGCTACTTGAGAGTTTTCTTACTGGTTTACTGATCTAAAGCATATGCCCAAGTGCTCTGCCAAAATAGGGAAGAGGGAGGTTTTTGTGACTTGGGGCAACCAATTCCCTGCAGTGACCTCTGCCCCTCACTGGTCCTTCCTGGTTCTGTACATGAATATTGGTGTGAGAATTGTAAATAAAATCTCTCTACAGGGCAGGGTGAATATAGTTTGTTTCATGGCTAGTTTATTTATAGTTATTAGGTTTCCTGCACTCTTGAAGATGCTCTTGTCTTTGCACTGCAGGACCCTGGGCCCAGGGGTGGGGTGGAGGCACAGGAATTGGTTTGTTTTCCATGTAACTTTAATGTAGCTGCTAAAAGGCATCAACATGGAACTCACATTCTGTTTAAATTTATTAATAAGATGTCACATTAAATTGTTGACTTAAGCAAGCACTATTAATGAGTATAGTGACTGTATCTTGTTAGCCTTTCCACAGCTCATTTAGCCCAAATAAGAAGCAACCACCTTTGCAGAATCCTGGTGCACTTCATTACTCATCAGTATCACTCCAGCATCACTGAATCTTGCTGGTGTTTCAGAGCTGCACGACAGAATGACGAGGCAATTGGCAGCTCAGCCAGCCCGTGCATGGCTTGAACTTTGCACAACACGGGAGCAAAAGCTTAGTTAAAGGAGTCTTATTGGTGTTTTACTACCAGTCTCAGTAACAAGGGTTTTGACTTACTTCTGAGAGCCCTGGAAGGGGGGCAGAGGACAATGCAGCAGCGTCTAGTCATTATCAGCTCAAATGGGGTTGTTACAGAAAGAGAGAGGAATCATGCAGCTGGAGCTGCTTCCCTCCCAGCTGGGTTGGGTGGGTTGGGGCTGAGCCTGCAGGTGCCACCAGCTTCCCCAGCAGCCCCAGAGCAGTGCCTGGGGGCTCGGATGGAGGGGAGCTGGGGTTCCTCCCGGATCCACAGGGATTCCGGGGGACGTGCCCCCTTCTGTTCTTAACACAACTCTGCTTTTCCTGCTGCGTTCCCAGGGCAGACCGGAGTTTTCAGAAGTCGTCACAAAACTAGAGGAGTGTCTGCGGAACATCGAGGTGAGGAGGTTATTCCTGCGGAGTGCGGGAGCGGGGAGAGCAGCGGCAGCGGAGGGACCTGGTGGCTCCGGAGCCTGTCCCTGCTCCAGCTG